AAGGATAATGCTCATTGCATTGAGAACGCAACATTTCAACACATGAGATTTTGCACAATTTTCAAATCCAAGCCAATTCGTTAATTACGTTGTATCTTTGATTTTACAGAAACCCAACAAATAATTGAAGTTCATTTTTTCTAAACAAATTGAATGTATGAATCACCACACCACATGTGAAGCTATTTTACATACAAATCACGCACTTAGATGATGTAATTCATCAAACTAAAAATCAGCATCTTATATACGGATATATATCATATTTCATATTTCAGGACGTGATGAAACCTTCGAACTCGAATGTTTGGGATAACAACGAAAATCACAAAATCTATCAACTACCATTGGAAGATATCACAGAAAAAATTGATTCTATTATCTAATTCTTGATGACGAAGAAGACACAACAACAATATTTCTTTCCCAATGTGCTGAGTACTGTTTATCACATAATTTTTAGAATTAGCTTATGTTATTGAGGTGTAATTAATTCAGCTTAATTATATGGTTTGTATTTGAGTTTCGATTACAAAAAAGATTATGGGAGTAATTAGGGGATATAGTATTTATGATATTATTAACAATGTTATATAGTATTTTAGTAGTACAATCAAAGATATAGTATGTATGGAATTATTTTACTTAACTCATGTATATGTGGGTTCCCCTCCCCCCCCTAAAAAAAATCATTTACAAAATCTATTCTATAGAAAATGAAACTTAAATTAGGACTAAATAATGTGGGACAATCAGAATAGAAAATCATAAATGATTGGAAAAGAGGAAAAATCAGGAGGATCCACGAAAATATACATAATATTCAGTTTGGATATCAATTTTTAATCCATGAATACAATCTACAAGCGTTTTCAATTCTACATAATTTTTTTGAATGACATTGTCCAACTTTCATGGTCAAATTCCATCGTTTAGGTGTCTGTTTTAACATTTTTATGTTTTTAGATAATTTAAAAATATTTTCATCCTTTACCATTTTTTTGTTTTAATTGGATTTATTTATTTATTTATTTTTGTTTTCTAGTTTAGTTGAATTTATCTATAGAATTAGAATCTCGTTTCGATTAAGATTTTTTTGAGTCCTTAAATTTATGTTTAGGAGTTCGTCAAGTATACATTTTTTTTTCTCTTGATTCATAAGATATTTTAATTTTTTTTCTGTTTATTGGTGGATTCCAAATAATTATTACGTTCGTTCAAATGAAATTCGAGCAAGCATCCATTCGTGTGTTACAAACAATACACCTTTTTTTTTTTTTTATCATTATTCACATTTTCGTCTGACGTCGAGTGGTATCAAAGCAAGTTTTTCCCATCTCTGTATCATTGATTTATATTCATGTACGAAGTTAGATTTGTACGCTCAAAATCAATAGCTTGATAATCTTACTGCTCATATTCGAGAGATCCGTAAATTATAGTGCTATTTATTGATCGGATCCATCCAATCCATTAAGAATAATTGTTTGATCCAATTTGATAATTCAACGGATATTTAATCGTTAAATCCATATTTGATTTGCTATCCGATAACCTGGTCAGAAATTGAAAAAAAATAGAAAGATAACATTTTTATATTAGTCAATTTATAAGCCTTAGAATTAAAAGGCCCATGTAGCTTTTCACCTAATTCTTGGCCCACTTATTTATAAATTGTATATTTTATGATATTCTAATAAGTATATGATGTGAGAAGTGAGAAGTTTGGAATAATGAAAGCAATTCCAATTAGTTGTTTAATGTATAAAATAAATTAATTTTTATTTTTATCTTATTTTAATTAATAAAAAATTAAATATCTTCAAATATTTCAATTAACAATATTATACTATTATATAATATTATTTATTATTTAAGAATTATGTGTAAAGTATAATAGAAATTTCAAAATGAAAAAAATTGTGCAATGAATTATGCGATAATATATAAAAATATATTATATTATTATAATAAATCGGATTGGGTTGTTATCGGATCAGATTGACCTATATCCATATTTGCTTCATTTAGTTAATAGATTATCATTGGGATCTTTATTGAGTTATCAGATTGAGACTCTAAATCCATTGCCCATTAATTTCGTCGAATTTGGGTCAAATTCCAATCCATTGACATCCCTAGTAAATTGTTGTTATGGGTTATTGGCAAAAATAGGTTGAGTCATCAACCTAGCAATAAGAAAATCAACCATGAACGAATCGTGGAGCCTGTAATTTGGAGATACAATAATAGGAGACTTGCAGTATAAGAAAAAAAATTGGATGATAGAGATAAGGAAGAGAAAAAGGAAGAATATATCAAAAAAATTTGTGGATAAGAATAAGAAAATTTTGTATGTGTTGTAAAGAAAATCTTACATTCACCCAAACGGGAAGTTTTAACTCAGCGTGAAAAGACTTTTCAGGCTAGTGATGCTGTTTGCAGTCAGATCATAGACACTTGCAATTGTGAGAAATGATCACGAAGAAGCTGGTGCACCATCTGAAGCTGCCAAAGGAACTGTATCCGAATCCTTACTAGATTGGATGGATTAAGAATGGGTCATCTATTTGGGTTACTCAAATTTGCAAGGTATATTTGTCAATTGGGATTTATCATAAATTAGAAGTTATCAGTGATCTTCTTCAGTTGGATGGGTGTCATATTCTGATGTGATCCGAGTTAGGCCAAAATCGGTCAAGAAATTAATGTTCGAGTCCGAGAGAGAGAAAATGCTCAATCGAGGCCGTTTGGAGTTGATTCAAGCCGTACAATTACGAACTTGAGATTCGGAGTTCAAGAGGTTGAAGATCACAAGCCAAAGGCCAAGTTCGTAGATGGGGATGGAGTCTTGAAGGGTGTAGAACCAATTGAATTTCACAAGCAAAAATGGAGCCAAAACGAATAGGCTGTGCAACCGCACAACCTGTGTACCATGCTGCTGCACAGGTGAGGCAGGGGCGTCAAGCAAGCACGTCAATTGGTCTATGTGACCGCATGTTGTCCTACCATGCGATCGCATCGGCATTTCGAGAGCCGAGATTTTTATTTTTTCGCGAGTTTCCCGATTCTTTTAGAACTCTATTTTTATTATTTTGTTACCATAATTTTCACATTTTTCCTTCTAAAATTAGGGTTTCTAGGTCTTATATAAATACGACTATTTAATTCTTTGTATTTTTTAGACTTTGATATCTGACAAATTAATTCGAGAGGCTTTTGCTTCAATCCTTGTTCTTGTGTGGAACAAATCTGAACTTATCAAGATTCAACATCTTGTGGCGTTCAACAACTCGGATAAGATTCAATTAATTGTGTAATCAAAAGGTCCTTCGTATCTTGTTGTCTTGGGGTTGTTTGGTTCATTAATTAGTTGGATTGAATCCAAAAATCCGGATTTTGATTTATAACTTTCGTGATCAAAAGGTCAATAGTTTAATATATTATTGGTTGTTTGGTTCGCAAATTTGTGAATTGAATCATAAACTTTGTTACCTGGCTTTCTTGGGGTTTGCGTCATTCTTCTGTGGGTTTGTTGGTGGTCGTTGCTATCGGGTTCACATCATATTCTATTGAACAAATCATAGTAAATTAATGTGAATGACACACATAAGGGTAGAGAGAATGCCTACAAGTTTAAGTGGAAGGATAAAAAAATTACAATATGGAGGGCAAACAAAGCTTCTAAAGTGGAAGGAAAAGATTTTCTAACTATTACAAATTCAAACAGTGAGTTTTCCTCCGATGATCTTCTGTATCTTGGCAACAACTCAAGGTCGAGTTGTTTTGAAGTGGAATGTAATAATGCGGGACAATTAGAACAAAAAATCATAAAATAATTGGAAAAGAGAAAAAATTAGGAGGATCTACGAAAGCATGCATTATTTTCAGCTCGGATGTCAAATTTTCGTCCAAGAATACAATTTAGAAGCGCTTTTCAACTCCACATAAATTTTTAGGAGGACTTTGTCAAACTTTCATGGTCAAATTCCATTATGTAGGGGTCCGTTTTAACATTTTTATGCCTTAAGATAGTTTAAACATATTTTCGTCTTTTGCAGTTTTTTTTTTTAGTTGTAATGGTATTTTTTTAGTTCCTAGTTTAGTTGAATTTATCTATAGAAATTAAAATCTCGTTTGGATTAGGATTTGTTTTGAGTCCTTAAATATGTGTTAAGAAATTTGTAAATTTGACATTTTTTTCTTGATTCAAAAGATATTTTAGTTTTCTTGTTTATTGGTGGATTCCAAATAATTATCATGACCGTTCAAGTGAAATTCGAGCAAACATCCGTTCATGTGTTACAAACAAGATATTTTTATCATTATTCACGTTTTCGTCCTGTGTCACTTAATATTTTCAATTCTCATTTAATAAAAGCATATTTAATACACAATTCTCTATATTAAATATAAATTGACATTTAGTGAATATGACTTGCGTAATACTATTTGTAATTGTTCACTACTGCAGCTGTCATACGTGGAATATATGTGACGGTTAGTGATATGATGCATGATACAATAAAAAAACTATCATATTAATTCATCAAATCACTAAATGTTACATGTTAGAATGATTATGGTAGTAAGTGACGGCAATATTTATATGATTTATGGGAACTATAAAGGAGTACCCATTTCCATTGCAACGATGTACTTTTGTTTTTTCTTCCCATCTTCTCTTATCTTCCATCTCCTTGGCCTCTACCCTCTTGGAATTTGTGCTTCGATTCGTTTTTCATGTCCAACATTTTAAACGAATATCTACATCTTGATCCTTAGGAAAATCATCAGAACCTTCTCTCCAACAAATTTTTAATTTTATTTTATAAAAAATAATATATTTTTTGGTACTTTAATTAACAAAGTAGACTCCATACCAACAATTGGACAACTGAAAAGTTAAATGCTAACAGAGAATCTTTTTTATTTTTTCTGTGCATTATGGCCCATGCCAGGTTAGGACTCAGATGCACATTTTATATTTGCATGTAGACTGTAGTAACATGGATCTTTTATTATTTAATCATAATCATATGATACAAGAAATTATCATAGTATTAAAAAGAAAAGTAAAAAAGAAAAAAGAAACCTGAATTGTAACATTTTAGGCTTTTTACCTCCCTTGAACACAAATAAACATCATAAGTCGTGAAATTTTTACTCCTCTGGCCATGCCCAAAAATCTGGGTTTTCATCAATGCCGCTGAACACGTTGCAAATACCTTCATTAGTGGCCGTCTGATCAATCTTGTGGCCCTGATGAAGATCTGGACCTCTTGAAGAACTTTGAAGGAGCTGTGTTAAACTTGTGGGTCCAGTTGATGAAGGGAAAATCAGTTTGTTGCTTGGATGAGAATATAATTTGCCGTCAGCAGCTAAGGTGGTTTTTGTTGTAACTAGGTTGATGTCACGACTATTTTCACTTCCATTGCTCCTAGAACACTCATTTTCTTTGTTCAGATTAATAGGTGGTCCAGTTGGTTCTCTATTTTTCAGAACCATTAACTGCAATATCAGATTAAACAGTAATTAATCAAGAAACATGTAATTGGGATTCTTGACTAGATATTTCCTATGTGATCAATGCTAGAAGTGGGTCGAGTAGAGAGTAATTCGAGCCTAATTCCAATTGAAAGTATAACAATTTATGGAAATTCGAAAATTTTGTCCTGGTCGTGAAGCAGTAGTGAATCGTGATTATGAATTTATAACTGTCCTAAGGTAGCGAATTTCTTTACTAATCAAGCATTAATATTGTTTGAGAAAAATAAGGAAGAACAAAAAACCCTAACCTCAGATTGAAGTTTTCTGTTCTGAGTCTTGAGGTTATCATTATCAGCTTTGAGAGCTTGAAATTGTCTCTTCAAAATGTCATAATCTTTCTCTAATTGCTTAGTTTTCCACCTTGCTCTTCTGTTCTGGAACCATATAGCAATTTGCCTAGGCTGCAATCCTAAAGCCCTAGCCAAGTGCATTTTTCTCTCAGGCTCAAGCTTATTACCTAATTCAAAACTTTTTTCCAGTGCTTTCACCTGTTCTAGCTTCAGTCTCTTTTTCTTCTCCCCGAGTTGTGATCCATCGTCCGACATGTCGTCATCCATCGGCACCTCCTCGCTCCGGTCGAGCCCCGAAAACGACATGGATCTCCTCATCAAGAATTGGGAAACACCTAGACCACCACCACAAGAAAAAAACTCAACATTTGGGTTCTAAATCTCTAGTCCCTACTTACAAGAAACAATAATAAACGAACTAAACATGCACATACTTTGCAATCGAACGAAAACTATTAAGTATGATTAGGCTCGATACAGTTCAACAAATAGACACACACGAGAGAGTGAGATAGAAAGGAGAGACGATAACCGTGGAAGTCTTGAGGATCACACGACGATGAAAACCCGCCCCTTGTGATGGATGCAAGATGGCTATCTTCATGGCTTGGAAACCTGGATTCTGACGCAGCAGGGACAAAAGCCATACGAATCTCTCTCTCTCTCTCTCTCTCTCTCTCTCTCTCTCTCTCTCAACAAATAGACACACACGAGAGAGTGAGATAGAAAGGAGAGACGATAACCGTGGAAGTCTTGAGGATCACACGACGATGAAAACCCGCCCCTTGTGATGGATGCAAGATGGCTATCTTCATGGCTTGGAAACATGGATTCTGACGCAGCAGGGACAAAAGCCATACGAATCTCTCTCTCTCTCTCTCTCTCTCTCTCTCTCTCTCTCTCTATATATATATATATATATATATATATATATATATATATGTGTTCATTTTTTCCACATAAACTCCCTTTTGAGTGGCACACTTTGAGCCTCAATTTCTCATTCACCCGAGCATCAACTTTGGTAAGTAACTATATGATTTCGATGTACTCACGGAGGAGAACACAAATCAGCTTTCATCTTCCAAATTGAACAATCGGGTCGCACTCAAAACTCGTGCCAAAGTCGGCCAATTTTTCCAACATTAATTTACTCTGAAAATCATAAAAGCAAAAGCAATTAAATTTTTATTGAAAATAATGAAAATCATTGACTTATTTAGGAATATAACTTGTAGAAAACTTTTGCACTAAAGAAAAACACAATAAAACTAATTGTCAACTTTAATTTCTAAAAGAAGTCGATGTTTAAATGTATTAGTACTGAGTCTATCACACCACAAGTAGTCGTCTTGAATCATCATGCCGTCATCATCTGAAAATGGGGAGGATAACGTGGAGTGACCTAACTCTCAATAAGCAAACCTCATGCATATGGTACATGCTTATGATATGCATAGTACTTAAAAATAAAAGTGTTCCTCAATATGTATTCCCTTTTTTTCATTTCTTTAAGACCTTAACACTGATGCCGTGATCTCACTTGGTGTATTGTATAGCCAATCAAAATGCAGTGGGAATTATTACTTGAAACCAAGTCGACTCCTACCATTGGTTCCACAAAGCAGTAAATATTAACATTATCATTGAACATTTCCCACGCCCATTTTTCAGTGATACCTTTCACACTTTTCATGGCATAAGCTTACAACTTTCTCACTCACACCTTTCATAGCATAGACTTACACCTTATAACAACATTCAGGATATATATTTCTAAAAACATTTCTTGACTCACTAACATTTGGAAACTTTTATTTCTTGAAATTTCATGTATGCTTATGGATGCATTCACGTGTATAAATATGTAATGACAAGCATTAATGACATAAAATATAATAATCAAATATCGTGTTAACATAATGGTAGATAAGATAACACATTAATACATTTAACCATATGACATACGTGTGAAAATAGGTGAGGTTTACTTACTTGGAATGCTTAACAATATAATTTTTAAATAACAAGTAGAAATGTCCCTAGCTGCCCATAAGATCAACACGTCAAGGATCCTAAACCATTACGACTTATTTAGGAATTCCAACATTCTCAATTCTTTGTTTATCAATATGAATTTTGTAGCTAGGAAGAAACATCAACGTGTATAAATTTAGTGGTGTACAAGAGTAACTATATGAATTAACTATAGTTAAAACCTTCAAGGTCGACACTTGATTTCCATTCTCACTTTCTGGTGACACATAAATCATGAATGCATATATTTTATTGATGAAGTAAACAATACTAATAGATCCTAGGAATTAAGGTGAACACAAATGCTATATAAAAGCCAATTTTCCATAGAATTGATTTTGAACCATTTATAATTTAAGGTACTGTATTCACACTGTACAAATGTTCAAATCCTCTTTTAGAAACAATCTTGCAAAAGAAAAGTCAAAGAGCCATTTTTATTAATTAATTATTACATTCTATTAGCACATGAATTATGACAATTACTTATTTATTAGAATCCAATTCCATTCCATTTAACTCACTAAGTAACAACATATATATTGACTTCGTTGAAAAGGGTAAATAACTATGAAATAATTATTCATTTAAAGTATTAATTAATAACTAATAACCACCCCGGCAAAAGAGCAAATTTTAAGGTCATTTAAATTACCAGGAAAAAAAAAAAAAACCCCAAATCTGTGTTCAAGCGGGGTATTTCCAATTCAATAGGACAATGATGGTGTTAATGACTAATATGACAAATTTCTTGAAATCACAAAAACATACATATACACAGAGGACATGAATATCGATCATAACTCAAAAATATTATTGCTTGGATTCAAAGCAGAATGTAGAAGGCTTACGAAAATGTGAGAACTCCAAATTCAAATCACGTTAAAATAGTGATGGCAACGGGATAGGGCGTCTCCACCCCGCCCCGCAACGGGGCGGGATAGGGTGGGAAAGGGCAACTTTTTGCTCCGTTTATTTTATTTTATTTTTATTTTTTATTTTTTTACATTTTCAAAGTTTCAAGTTATGTTATTATTAAAAAATAAAATACAAATTCAAAATGGATTTTTAACGGGTGAATTGTTTAGAAATAAAATTATTTTTAATCTTTTTTTTTCCTTCATGGGGCAGGGCGAGGCATTCGGGGCGGGTTTTTTCCCCATTCGGGACGGGCCCCGTTTTATTGCCATCCCTAAGAATGGTTTTCTTTCATATTATAATTTTATTTGTTGAATTATTGAAGCAAAATGATAATAATAATTTATCTAATTTTCTCTAGATCTTCGAGAAAATCATGAAATAAAAACGGCTTCAATGATATGATCCCTCAATCACCTCAGAATGAAAAATGATATTTTAATTGATCTGTGAATGAAAAACAATGGTCACGTCTATTTAGAATTTGGTTGCAAATGAATTTTCTTTACTAATATATACATTTGAATCTCTTAGGCCCTGTCTGGTATCGATTGTTGCTGCCCAGCAAATGCATTTTTTGACCGTTGGATGAGGTAGTGGGACCCAGGCTGCACTTCTTCAATTAATATGTCAGAAATGTAGCCGCAATTTTGGACCATTTTCTCGGCAGAATGACATTTCTACCCTTAACAGTCAAAAATTTTGTTATGACAGATAGGCATTTTCGGCATTTCACATTTTACTTGCCCTTAATTGCTGCCACAATGGGACCCACGTACTGTAGATAACGGGCAAAATTCTCATTTTAATTTCGGAAGAATCACTCCCAGACAGCCGCTTAATTTATTTGTTAAATTTAAGTGCCTTACGATATACCCAAAACTCAATTTTCCATTATTTCTCTAGGTTGATGAAAAGTGAAATTTTATCAAAAAGACAATTTTTTTTTTTTACTTTAGTATGAAATGTCATATATGCCATTATTAAAAAAGGTACATGCATGTGCTTTCTAGACAATGTCAAGTTGACACGATACATTTCGTTCTTTTTATCTTCCTCTTTTCATTTTTCTTGTATCATCCTATATCGGATTCCCAAAGACCGTTTCATAGCTCCTTTCTCTTCCAGAATTGCTTGGCCGTATGAATTTAAAGTAAATGATTTTTTTCTCTTATGTTCCAAAAATTCAATATTAAAGTATGTTATTGTTTCGCGCGGGTTAGTCGCTAACAATTAAAAGAGATCAGACGATTGTGTAAGGAACAAACCCCTTGAGACAAAATCCCAAAAATGGTTGTTCTTTTATTGGCGATGACTTTACAATTGGAAATTAAAAACAAAGTGCCTCCAAAGGGCGCAAGTACACGAGTTACTGAAAAAAGTGTTTAAGTCTAAGCTAAGGAAATTAAAATTACATGTTCTCTGTTCGAGAGTTTTTGATTGGGTCCTTTGCTCTATGTCTTTTCTCCGTTTTATACTTCATGGACGATCTCTTTGTGATCAACCGCCTAAAAATTGCTTGATCGTCCTATAACTGCCCACTTTTCTCGTAATGGTCAACTTGTCATGAAAATTGCCTTTTTTAACTGCTGTCATTACTTTTCGTCATTCAACCACTTTCGATTGAATTCCTTGAATCGTGGAACGTGATAGGGCTGCTTTAATAACTGCTTTGATAACTGCACTTTTTGATAACCACAACGCTTTATGTTTGTTAAGACCTTGGACGACTTGAAGGTTTGGGCGAGAATAGAGTAACAGTTCTGGGCGATTGTATGGCACTCCATTCGCTTAGATTCTGGACGACTTGCAAACTTGGGCGATGGCGTTACCGCGTTCTTGGGCCTCCCTATTTGGGCCTTTATCTTGATTTGTTTGATTGGGCTTCGTTCTTTGGGCTATCTGATTTGGGGATCCTCCAATTGGGCTTCACTCCTTGGACCGTTCGATTTGGGCTGAATTTTTATGTGTCAACAATTACCCCCCAATATGGCAGAATTAATAATATTTATTAAATTTTGCCATATTCACTTTGTGTTTCCAGCAACATTCGAAATTTTCAAGAATCTCAATCATTGTTTTCTTCTATAACTTGAAAAGGTGCGTCGTTTTGCAAACTCTTATAACCCCCAAACACGCCATTTCACTGCACCATTAAATCACGCCTCAAATTTTTGCGTCTCTCTCACGATTTACTGTTCATCTTTTGCTTCCCTGCTACGTAACCCTGAAAAAATTTCGTTCCTTCTCAAATGGATACTTCACAATTTCAAGCTGGCGACTCCTTTAGTTTTGATGACTTTCAGAAACTTCTGAGTCGCCCATACATAACTTCGAGTTTTTTCGCGCCCGTCGATGTCGAACGTAATGAGTTCTACTTGGATCCTTTCTTCAACAATGCAGAGGCAGTTGAACAGGCGGCGGTGGGTCAGCTGTTTCCTTGCACTCAAGGCCCTCCATTTCTAAACTCTCTGCCGCTGGGGCCACTTCGCAAAAGAGGTATTCGCACTTGGCCTAAATCTGATGTAGCTTTCCGTAGGTGGCATGCTCGCCTTGTGAGTCATGGTCCTACTAAGGCACTTTTTGATAGCGCTAGGATTTTTGATTTGTTAGTAATCTCTATTCGCCCCCTACTTTTGATTCAACACTCTTTTCGATTGTTTTGAGTTTTTGGTCTTCTGAGTATAATACCTTTATTTTCCCTCTTGGCCCCATGTCTATTACCTTAAGGGATGTTGGGGCCCTGGTGAATCTACCACCTTTGGGCGATACCATTTTTCCTGGTATTTTGGTTTCTGGTGGCACCCCAAAGTTTGGTAAAAACTACACCGAATATTATTCAAGTCTGCAAACCCTTCACAATCATTCGAGCGCTGAGCCTTCCCATACTGAGCGAGTGGCCTTCCTCCCTGAGTTATTTACCTATAGCGCACGAATTGGTGAGTGG